TGAGATCCATCTAGGTGATCAGACACCCTTGGTCCCCTATCCCCCCTGAACTCTGACAGCCTGTGGTCCTCATATGACCAGACCTTCTGGAGGGCATGGGGAATAGACCCCTCCCCAACATGGAAGGAAGGAAGGGAGGGAGGGCGGGCGCGCAGGCCAGCAGGCCACCAGCCCTGGAGGCGGGGGTATCAGTCTCCTGAGGAGTAGCTCCCCGCAGAGCCTGGCTGGAGTGGAGTGCAGGAAGGAGGCACCCGGGAGGAGGCGCTGATCTTGAGGGGATGAGCTGACCTTCCCTGAACCTTCAACCACGACAAACCACAGCAAACCCATGTGGGAGCCATTAAAGAAAATTCGAAAATGCGGAACTGCACGGAAGATGCCTCCTCAGTGGGAGTCTTCAAAGCAGTGCGGGTGGAGCCAGAGAACCTGCGAGGTTAGGGGCTCTCCCTGGACTGCCTGCCAGCCTGCTGCTTGCAAACAGGCCTTTCCACATCTCCAGGGAGGGTGGCGGGCAGGCCTGGGGACAGGCCAGGCCTTGTGTCTCCCCACTTAGCAATGGCCATCTCCACTCCTGCCTCCCAGGAAAGAGAAGGAGGATGACACAGCAGCCTCTCTGGTTGCATCCTCAGCACAACAAGGCCTTGTGCCTCAAGCCTTGAGGAGGAATCAGAGCATGGGGCCTGTGGCCCCAGCTGGCTGGGCAGTGGGGAGGCCGCACGGGGAAACGTCAAGAACTCAGTGCCCCTGCTTCTGCCCGGCCATGGCCTCAGTGTGGAAGCAGGGACTCTGCTGGCGGGGGCGGTCTGCCTGGCATGCAGGAAAGAGGCCACAGGGGACAGTGGGCTGGGAGATCCCCGGGCAGGCACACACGCAGGGTAACTGCCTGAGCGGCCCTGCAAACAGCTGCCCCTCGCTAAAGTCGAACCCAGGTGTGGTGGGGACACTGATGACTCTCCACATGTCCCAGGGAGTTGGAACTACCTCCACCTCCAAGACAGAGACAGCAAAGCCCCAGACCTCGCCCAGGGTGGCAGCTCTGAAGCCGCCTATATGCAGACAACTCCCCCACTGACCGCTTTCCAAGACTGGGCTCGCAGGGCCCCCTGCATGTGTCGAAGAAGCGTCTCAAATGTAACATCTCCTCCTCCTTCGGGCCTTCCCATCTCGGGTCAGCAGCCCCCGCCTTCCAACTGCTCAACCCAAACACCTCGAGTCACCTTCGTGCTTCCCTTTCTCGTCACATCGAGTCCATGGATGAGCCCATTCCAAAGAGTCCCGGAACTGGGCGGCCCTGCCCCGCCTCCGCGGCTTCCATCCTGGCCCAAGCACCCATCACCTCTTACCACGACAAGCCTGGCTCCTCCCTGGCCTGGCCTTTCAGAGGCCACTCTTGCCCCTGCCGTCCATTTCTATAAAGCAGCCAGAATGATACTTTTTTTCTTTTTTTCCCCAGAGACGGGGTCTTGCTCTGTTGCCCAGGCTGGAGTGCAGTGGTGCAATCTCGGCTCACTGCAACCTCCACCTCCTGGGTTCAAGCAATTCTCCTGCCTCAGCCTCCCGAGTAGCTGGGATTATAGGTGTCCACTACCACACCCGGCTAATTTTTGCATTTTTAGTAGAAACGGGGTTTCACCATGTTGGCCAGGCTGCTCTCAAACTACTGACCTCGTGATCCACCTGCCTCGGCCTCCCAAACTCCTGGGGTTACAGGCGTGAACCACCAGGCCCAGCCACAGAAAGACACTTCTAAAACACAAGATACTGCCTCGATAAGTGCCCGGAGGTGTCGGGTTAAGCGGGTTGAGGCTGGCAGCGCTAACACCAGCACCTCCCCTTATCGCCACGCGGCAGCGGAGCTGTGACAGTGCCCCACCCTCCAATGTTTTGCTCAGCGTCCCAAGAACAATCACATCTATTTTCCAATCTGGAGCCTCTAAAGTCAACTGACCACGTGGCCCAGGGCCCGTTCATGTCTGAGCAGGACTCGCTGGGCATCTGATTCTGGTGGAGAGGAAAAAACATCCTCGTCATTGACTAATAGTGCCCTGCTGTGATGCTCTGAGTGGCCATCCAGATTCCAGTTCACAGATGCGGTTCCCAAATACTGATTCCCAATCTCGTATCCCCCACTCACCCAACACCTTTAGGATTTTCCAAACAAGGAAAATTATGAACGCATCCAACCTTCCGTCTCACGCAGAGCTAACTAAGCAGGAAATCACCTATTCACAGGACACGTGTCTGCACCTCCAGGAATGGGTGGGCGGAACTCTCTGTTCAAATAGGCTCCAGTGCCCTCCCGGCCACTCCGGGGGTCTATGTACTGTATTGGAGCTGGGATATATAACCATGAAGCTGTGCAAACCCAGAGCTCATGACAGTATCCGGGGCATTTCCTAAAAGACACAGGGCTGGAAATCTTCATGGATCCCCCACGGTCTCAGTGGCCAGACAACAAGAGCAGGCCTGGCAGTCTCCTCATCTGTCTGTCTGCAAAGAA